TCTTCCTATGTGGCCCCAGTTCTCCACCTGATCCTTCCTACAGGACCAAGTCCTAACTGGAACTCTCTCACACACTAATACCCAGCCTTTAAACCCATAATGGGAGGTATAGGTACAATTCATTGAGCACCTATTATAGGCCAGGAAATATGAACGTATTATCTCATTTAATCACTCAACAATCCCATGTGACAGGTATTACTATTACTCTCATTGAAAGATGAAGCCCCTGAGGCTCAGAGAAGTTCAGTAACTTTCCTAAGCTCAGGATCCTTGGGAGAGCTCCAATAAATACTGACGTGATTTCTAAGGCTTTTTAGAGTGCAATTTGTAGTGTACATGTGTGTGTTTTAACGAGACAAAGGTCTGATATGGAAGCAAGTGGACTCAAGACATTTGCAGATATATTCCACCTAAGTAAATTCTACTTATTCATCAAGGTTGGGATGAAATCCTACTCTTCTGGGTAGTCTTCCCTGACTGCTCCATCCCACAAGGATTTCCCATCTTCCTGAACTCTGATCATACCTTTACTGTTTTCTGGCATGTGCAGTGTTTCATGGGTTTGTCACTCATCCATAACCACAGTGTCAGGCTCCCAAGGAGAGGGACTGCAGCTCCCAATTTTTTTGAACCCCCTTGGTACCTATAACTAGATGCAAAGACTTCGCTGGTTAAGGGAGCTGAATACTGCAAAGAAGAGACGCAGTTCACGTTAAGCCTTGACTACCAAATCCCCTCCACTCTTCAAGAACTGGCTCAAACCTGCTGGAAGCAAGCAGCATCACTTTCAAAAATACTCACTTCAGGGGGCCCACCCCGTGGCCTAGCGGTTAAGTGCGCACACTTCGCTGCTGTTGGCCCAGGTTTGGATCCCGGGCGCGCACCTGATGCACCGCTTGTCGGGCCATGCTGTGGCGGCGTCCCACATAAAGTGGAAGAAGACTGGCACAAATGTTAGCTTAGGGCCAGTCTTCCTCAGCAAAAAGAGCAGGATTGGCATGGATGTTAGCTCAGGGCTAATCTTCCTCACACACACACAAAAAAATACCCATTTCAGGGAAAAGAAATTTAGTGCTGAACTCCAACAGATCTACTTAGAATTCTGGTTCTGTTGCTTCTAAAGTGGGTGATCTTAAGCAAGTTGCTTCATTCTTCCAACCCTCAGTTTCCTTGTCTGTAAAATGTGAATAAATATACCTGCCTCACAGGGCTGTGTGAACTGTAAACGTTAGAGCGCATTTGATACAGCACCTGCACCTAAGACATGCTCCAAAATGGTGGCCACTATCATTGCCGTTACTATTTCATCACACTGCCTCATATGGAAGACATTTACATACAAATCTTTTCTAACCTTCTAGAGCAGTAGTTCTCAAACTCTGGAATACATCAGAATCATTTAAAATGAAGCTACCTAGGTCACACCACAGACCTACAAAACAGAATCCCCATTGGCAGGAGAAACAGCGGGGACTCGGTAGCTCCACGTTTTTTTTTTTTTTTTTGCAGGGAAAGATTCTCCCTGAGCTAACATCCATTGCCAATCTGCCTCTTTTTTTTTCCTCCCCAAAGCCCTAGTGCATGGTTGTATATCCTAGTTGTAAGCCCTTCTAGTTCTTTTTTGTGAGCCACTGCCACAGCATGGCAACTGACAGACAGGTGGTGTGGTTCCATTACCAGGAAATGAACCCAGGCCGCCGAAGCGGTGAGAGCACCAAACTTTAACCACTAGGCCATCAGGGCTAGCTCAGGGTAGCTTTTAACAAGCCTCCTCACCCCACTGCAAGTGACTCTGATATGTGCTCACCAAACTTGGAAACTTCTGCTAGACAATATTCGATTCCCAATTTATTTTCCATGGAAACTTGAGGTTCCAAAGAAGTACCTCCAGACCCATAGTTCCCAACTTTGTCTGGATTGGAATTATATCAATGTCTGGGCATAATCCCTACAGATTCAGATGTCGGTTTGGGATGTGACCAGAGTGTCAAGATTTCTAAAAGATGGGCAGAGGATTCTAATGGTCAGCCAAGGTTGAAAACCACTGCTCCATTTGGATCTAGACCCTGGGTTTCTCTAATGATGCCTCTGAGGCTTGAACCAGAGCAGCTCAGCTTTTGTCTGTGTGACAAACCGAGCCTCCACATAAAACTGATTTTGCAAAAAGGATTCTTATGCTTAAAAAAAATAGTAAGTTTGCAACCAGTTGCTCTAGTCTGTCAGTAAGAGCCTTGAGGCCCCACAACTTGTTTTTTTCCACCTTTGTGTCGGTCACAGGGCCTTACAACACAGTAGATGCTTAATAAATATTTGTTGGAAGGTTGAATAGTTCTGTTTTATTTCTTACCTGGCTCCAATTAAGTTTTCAGTTGCCTAGCATAACAATCTAACAGTTTCTTAAACATCTAAGCCCTAATAGCCTTCGCCTCAAACCTCAAACCTGAAACAGAGAGTGGGGCAGACAGCCATCCACAGAACATGCTGACATTTCTTGGGGGGTCACATATACTATGCAAGTTCCTAACGACTGATAAATAGCAGCAAATGTGATTTTCGTCAGCTGGGAAGAGCGTGACATTTGTCAGCAGTGCGGGCCTCCCAGGCTAATATTTGGATTGTTTCATCTGAAACTGTCAAATTACAAGAGCATGATAAAAACTTGTAGGAACTTCATAGTAAACAGTAACTGGCCCCTTGTCAATAAGTTATAAGAAAAAAATTTCCTGCTGCCAAAACGCATGGGCCGGAATGCCTGCAGCCCAGGCCCGCAGCCAACAAGGGCCTGTTCCCTGGGCAGCTCTCCTAGGTTCTCAACCACAGAGGCTGTAAGAGAAATCCCCTAGTACTCCAGGGATCTGGGAGCCAGCAGCACCTTTGAATCTCAGCTTTTCCAAGGCTCTAGGACTCCAGGTAGTCGGTTAACCTCTTAGGGCCTCAGATTCCTCATGTGTAACATTTCCTTCAACAGATCCTTAGAGTCATAACTGCCTGGGTTCAAATCCCGACTCTTCACATACTAGCTATGTGGCCTTGGGCAAGTTACTGCACTTCTCTGGGCCTCAGTTTCCTCACGTCTAAAATGGGGATGACATTAGCATCTATCTCATGTCAATGTAAAGTGACAAGAACAGTGCCTGGTAGAGAACAGGCATTCAGCAAGGCTTAGCTACTACAAATCTGCAATTCTGCAACCAACAGTTTGGAAAACCAAGTGTTTGTCTTTCCTTTTTTTTTTATGTTTTTGTCAGTTTGGTGTCAAACTCATTGGGCAGCAAACCTGACCTTGACAGACATTAAACTATTTATGGTCTTTTTTATCCTGTTTTTTATCTTATCACGTTTTACTGCAAAACATGGGATTATGGGATGCTGCCCCACAGCACAGAAGGAATGCCATTAATATGTGAAATATGCCCTGAATTATCTCTCTACAGTCTCAACAGTTCTGAATTCTAAAACACGCTGGCCATAGCATTTCAGATAAGGGACTAGGGAGCTATGCAATTAGGGGTTGCGGTTGGGATGAAAGGAGAAAACATGTCAGGCCCTCGGCATTAGGAGTGGTAGCAGACCCCCAGTCCCAGAGCGACGATGGCGGGGGCTTGGTTTCTACACAAGAAGAGAGAAAGAAAGAAGCATCCTCTCCCAGCTGATCTTTCTCTTTCACCCTCCCATTGACAGGACATGCCAGGCCTTGGAACTCACAGTTCTTCACCTCTCTCTTCTATCTAACTAAACTTGTTTTATTTTTCAGAACTAGACTAAAACACATTCTCTGTGACATGGTCCTCTCTCTCCAAACTCCTACTGACCAGGTCCAGAGCACACAGCTGGGGAGAATGGATGGGTTGCATCTCCTCACCTCCAGGTGGCTGGCAGTGACAGTCCACAGCACAAGGCTGAGAAGGACTCTCATGTAGCATCTAACCACAGTGGGAAAGGGTAGCCCTCGATGTTGATGTCTGAACTGCAAGTGACAAGAGGGGTGAGGCAGCCCCCCTGACATGCACGCGCTCTGCCTGGGATGGGCATTAACTTGGCTTGATGACTAAATTATACATTTCTTAAGCACATAGACCATATCTTACACTTTTTGCTCTTCCTGTAAATATTTGTTTGTTGTTGTTATTGCTTTTGTATTATTAATACAAAATATATTAACATTCTCTCAGACTCTGTCATGGACCTAGGACACCCAACAAATACTGTTGAATAAATGCTGAGTAATCTGTAAATATCAGTTGATTAATTCACTGACAAGCTCTTCTCAGCCCCTATATTCCTACCTTTCCCATGGGCACTGCCTAGTTGGGTATATTTATGCTCGCCTAGGCATGGGAGGCTTTTTAGAGCTACACAACTATTTTGATGCCATCTCTAGAGTTTATGTTTTATTAAGACTCTAAAAAATGTCTAGGTCCTTAATTAGACATATCCTTAGACAGCATGTTCACTCAAAATTCTTTGGAGAAACTTTCTAGCAAAGTTCATAGAATCCTGAAATCCACAGCCTGGAAGCATCTAAGACTCCAGACATTCAACTTGTCCAAGGATTCGAAATTCATATCAGCTCTTGGATTAGAAGCCTCCTTGTCTTGTGTCCTCAGCTCAAACCCACACAGCCTGGGGCCAAAGATCTCCCTTTTCCCCTGCACCAGCCGAGCACCAGGCCAAGGTCTCCCAACTCCCCATCCCCACCTACATTCACCCCTGGGCAGGGCCTCCCTAAAGTTGATGCCTAAGGGCATTCCTAGAATTAGCTTCACTTTGAAGACTATTCAGAAGCACAGCATGAGGGGGAGTGGCTTCAACGCTTTAAAAGGCTGCAAAATAAACCAAAACATGAAAGGAGATGTCTGGAGCCAAGAATCCCTCCCCACTCGGCAGAAGCAATGCATTAACCGTGCAAGCTGTAGTGCAGAGCAGCGCGCGCTGCACATCCGGGCAAAGCTAGCGACAGGGGCAGTGGCGGGAGGGCGGATCAGGAGGGCGCGTACCTTCTTTCCCCCGTCGGTTCGCGGCCCCGGGCCTGCGGGTGCCGGCTGCCCCGCAGCACCGGGCCCTGGCGGCTGGCGTTGAGGCTGGCCGGGGCGCGCGGCTCCTCGCGGCTCCGGTGCAGCGGTACCGACGTGCGCACGGCAGACACCACGTGGCCGGCGAAGGCGCGCGCCGGGGCTCCGGGCCGCGGGCCACTGCGCGCGCGGTACGAGCCGGGCAGGCAGGGCCGCGTCTGCTCCATCACGCCGCCGCTGCAGCTGCGCGAGCAGGCGGACCAGGGGCCCCAGGCGCCCCACACGCCCGGGGCGCCGCCGCCGCTGTCCTCCGGGGCGCCTTCGGCCGCCGCCACCAGCCGCTGAGGGACCTGCGGAGACAGAGGCCGGTTAGGGGGCCAGAACACCCGCTCCTGCTTCACCCTCAAAGGCCTTAGGTAACCTGAAAGGCTTGTCCGTTAGGGACACGTCGGCACAGGGCCTGTTTTAAAATCTGAAGAACAAAATGAATATAATCCAGCCTAGGTTATATTCGTCTTTATACCAACACTCATAAAGTATAATTTTATTTATTTTTTAATGGAGAAAGGGACACAAAAGCAAAATGCCTAGGGCACACAAAAGTCATCATTCGGTCCTTGCTTTGGGTGTCATGGCTTTGGAGAGTTCAGCATGGTGCCCTCACCTCTTACCCCTCTTACTCCTGTGGCTTACCCCCCAGGAGTGCCCCTTAACCTCCTCCAGCTTAGGTCGTTGGGATTCAGGGCACAGGGACTTCCCTTAAGCTGCTGGGGAGGCGCGAGCCCTGTGTCTCCCCGCGGTAAGGGCAATGGGAGCACTGGGCTTAGAGGCCCCACTATAGAGCCAGGTGCCTATGGTCACATCCCTGCCACCACTTCTAGCAGTGTGACAGGGAAGTGTCTGAACCTCTCAGACGCTCACTGTGTTCTAAAGAAAAATGGGACTTCATAGGATGTAAGGAGATTTGAGTAAATCTCCTTGGTCATCCATGTGCATACCAGGGAGCTTGGCACTAAATACATATTTGCTAGTAACCATAATGATAATTTTTCCTGCTTCCATGGTGAATCAGAAGAGGTGAAAAGTGTCAGAAAGTTTTACAGTTCTATCCAGAGGGTGATTCTACACGCCCATTTATTTAATTGGCCATTTCACAGAGACCTACTATGCCAGGCACGGTGCCAAGCGTGGGAACTGCTTGTGAAGGAACACAGTGTTCCGTCATTATGCAGACATGCTCTGAGCACCAGCTGTATGCCAGCACTGAGCTAGGCCCTGAGGACGAGGAGAAAAGCACCCCAGGTCCACACGAATGGCTGGACCCAGCAGCAGAAGAGCTCTGTGCAGCTAGTACAAGACTGGGGGAGACTCCTGGGGGACTGGCTGCCCTGGCTGGGCTGGGGGAGTTGGGGGGTGGGGGGTAAGGGTTTAAGAAGGCGTCAGAGGAGGAATCACATAATAGCTGTAATTATTCAGGCGCCCACTCGGTGCCAGGTGCCAGATAACGCGGGTAATCTCTAGTCCTCACGGCAGCCCTGGTTACTACCATTCTCCCCTTTCAGAGGAGAGGTTTCACCACTGAGGTTCAGAGACGTGTGACCCGCCCCTGTCAGGCCGCTGCAGCAGGGTTTGGACTCAGCTCCCAATACCTGCAGCTCCAGCACTCCCTGCTCTCTCCCAGCAGACAGCTGCTTCTGCACTTCTGGATCCTTCTTCTGGAATGTCCCTCCTACCCATGGGACACTGAGCAACACTGTGACTCTCCTTAGAATGTGGGTTTTCAGTGAACCTCGGCCTTTCATCTGAAGTGCAAAAACGCCTCCAGATTACCTTGGCTTTTGGTTTTTTTAGATCTTGGTTTTTGGCAGTATTATTCGGCCCAAGAACTCTAAGACCTTCTACAGCTGCTCTTCCCCTTTGTCCCCAGAGTAGCCCTGAGTGGTGAGAAGGTCCACGGACTGTCTTCCCCTTCATGTGGAACAAACCTGAGAAGGCTGAACTCCTTCATACCACATGGAAATGAGAGACGGAGCTAAGTTTACCTCAGAGGGTGGCTCTGAGGACTTGATGAGCACACCCACCTGAAGTGCCTGAGGTAAGTGCTCAGTAAGCGTTGGCCACTGCTGTAGCTGGCACTGTAGTCACTAAAAGCGAGGGCTCAGCTCTTAGGTAGAGTCCTTGCTCCCAGGTAATCAGTCCTCCTGAAGTCATGGGGCTTGTTTCATTGAAACCACTTTCCTTGACTACATTCCAGTGCACAGGGTGGTCTCTGGGTGACCTTTATAGCTTAAGTTGCGCTCCTGAAAGTTCAGGGAGTAACTGAGGCAGGATGAGTGAGAGAGCTGAAGGAACCCAGGGAGCAAACAAGTGTCTAACCAGAGGGTCAGGCTCAGAGCTGGATGTCAGACAGCCAGGCTATGGGAGCCACGATCAGAGAGCCAAGGCAAGAGGTCAGAGGTAATGTGGGGTGGAACCAGCAGGAGATGGGGTCAGAACAAGGGCAAGACAGAAGGTTCGCTGACAGGAGGGCTGCCATTCCTTACCGCCAGTGTGTGGGCAGCAGGGGCGGGGGGATGGGCACAGGAATAGCCAATACATTCAACTCATCACTACTAAATTGGGGACCCCAGAGAGAAGGCTATTTGCCTGCTTATAAATACAAAACAAAACAAACAAGCTATTTTTCTTTCTTTTCTTCCCTTACATGTCCTGATTTATTAATATCAAACTGGTGGTGGATTCACTGAGGTGGTTGGAAAAAAAAAGTGCCTAATCAGGCTACAGTCTTGATATATAAAGTAATCTCTAAAGTGTGTGTTGTGGGTTGAATGGTGGCCCTCTTCAAAAAATATGTCCGTGCCCTAACCCCCAAAATTTGTGAATATGACTTTATTTGGAAAAAGGGTCATTGCAGATGTAATTAAGTTAACGATCTTGAGATGAGATCATCCTGGATTTTCTGGGTAGGCCCTAAATCCAATGACAAGTATCCTTATAAGACACAGAAGATGCAACTAAGACACACAACTATCTACTGGGGCTTTGGGGAGAAAAAGGGGGAAAAAAAAGGAGGAGGATTGGCAATAGATGATAGCTCAGGGCCGGTCTTCCTCAACAAAAAGAGGAGGATTGGCATGGATGTTAGCTCAGGGCTGATCTTCCTCACCAAAAAAAAAAAAAAAAAAGGACACAGAAGAAAAGACACAGACACAGAGGAGAAGCCATGTTACCACCACTGAGGCAGAGACTGGAGTGATGCAGCCACAAGCAGGAATGCCAGGAGCCACCACAAGCTGAAAGAAGCAAGGAAGGATTCTCCCCTATAACTGGAAAGAGTACGGCCCTGGCAACACCTTGATTTTGAACTTCAGGCCTCCAGAATTGTGAGAGAATAAATTTCTGTTGTTTTAAGCCACCAAGTTTGTGGTAATTTGTTACAGCAGCCCTAGGAATCTAATACACTGGGTTTAAGGCTCTGAGGTAAACCTCAGAGAACCCTTATGCATAAATTATCTATATTATTCCTTTTTTATATGAGAAGAACTCTGCACTTAGAGAGACAAAGTGACAAGCCTGGGGTCCCAGAGCTGGTAGATTGCAGAATAGGGATTTGACCAGAGTCTGGCTCCAAACCCTGCTCTTAACCCCTGTGTTACTGTCCCTTCCTGCCCCCTGATTCCTTTCTCATCCTAATGCCAGCTAGGTCTGGCCCAGGTCAAGATCAGGCCTAGCCCCTAGAGCCTTCCTTTTCCTCTCTATGATTTGACTTCTAGGCACACAATATTTCAATATTGTCTTTATTCCCTCATGAATCTTTTTGTACAGAAACATTTGGTCCCCTGTGGGACTAACACAGTGTTGGTACTTCCAGAACAAGGAAGAAAAGTGGACGTGTATTTGCTGAGCACCTTCTCTGTGTCCAGCACTGTGCAGACAGCTCACATGCACAGGGACAGGCTCTACGGTGTAGACATCACTAGCTCCAGGTTACATCTTTTGGGGCCCCTCAGCCACCCTGGGAGATTGGTGTTATTGTGTCCCTTTGACAGGGCAGAAACTGAGGCCCCAAGAAGCCATACAACTTGCCCACAGTCGCAGGCTCCTGAGGGGCACAGATAGGACTAAAACTGAGGTCTCCTGACTCCTACTCTAGCGTTTTTTTTTTTTTTCCTCTGCAGCGTGTCGCCTCCTTGCCTGTGTTATTGGTGAAAAACAGAAGAGTAAAACGAGTAGAAGTGAATCCACTTTGATAGTTCTAGGAGAAGGATAATCAGGATAACCTAACAAAAGCAGAAGTATGTTTCTGGCACAATTAGGGATTTCAGTTATCCATCACCTCCTGATTTCTCACTAACACAGATAACTAAGGCACTGTCTATAATATTTGGATTAGACATGCAGCTCTCCTAAAAATCTACTTCCTAGAACTAATCCCACCCTTAATTTAGTTTTCTATTGCCAAATTAGGCAGAGTCCCTGGGGAAAGAAAACATGAAACCACATTCCATCCTATTCTATTCATAAGAATTCTCTAATTTATAGTTGAATTATGGTGAGTGATTTGAAATTCCATCTCAGTCCCCATAGTGAGAATCAACCACATGCTCCAGAATTGTGTTTTCATAGTACACAGCCAGAAACAAAGGAAAAAAAAAGACAGAAAAACTGAAAGGAAGGAAGGGGAGAAATGCAGAGAAAGAGAAAGAAAGGAAGGAAAATCAAAGGAAAAATAAAGGGAGGATAGCTTTGGATGTCAGCCTCCTAGTTGCATCAACCTCCCTTCCTCCCTCCACAGCTTCCCAACCCTCCTAATGACCCTCCTTCCTCCTTTTCTGATCAGCAAGATGGGAAAATTTCCAAGTGTTCTGAGACATAATATTCCTAAAATCCGGACTAACTAACAGGGCCTCTGTTGGTCAGTGACAAACAGAAAACCAAAGAATAAATCATGGTGAGAGACGAAAACAAATAATTGAAACTCAAAGCCTGGTAAGCTGCCAGCACGTTGCTTCTTCCCCAGTGCACACAGGACGTGGAAAGACTGCAGCAGAAAAGCTGAGGTGCTTCTAAAACACACCCTAAACTGCTAATTTTCCTCATTTACAAAGAGGTCTAATAAATCAGTAAGAAAAAGACAAAAAACCCAATGGAAACAGGGACGAAGGGCATGAATGGGTAGCTTATGGTTGTTATGAACTGAATGCTTGGGTCTCCCTCAAAATTCATATGTTGAAGCCCTAACTCTCAGTCAGCTGGTATTTGGAGGTGGGTCCTTTGGAAGTTAATTAGGTTTAGATGATGTCATGTGGGTGGGACCCCTATGATGTGATTAGAAGGGGAAGAAAGACCA